TCCTGGACATTTTAGAGACCTCAAATGAAAACAACAGAAACTGATTTAAGAAAAGAAGTGCTGGCATGAGAAAGAATTTTCTGTCTTCACATTGAGGAATAATTTTTATAAGCAAGTCAAAGGGACTCTTCACTTCACCTACTAGTGGAAAAGATATCTGAGGTTTGGGGGGACCCTTTTTAGTGGCTCTCATACATCCAAGCTCTTTTTAGACCCTTTAGAACTAAGAGCTGTTCTAATGTTTCAAAATCTATTAGTTGGTCAAAACATTTGGTAGCATATGAAGCTTTGCAACAGGCCAGGAATGTTGGAAAGAAATGTGACTTTTTAAAATGGCATGCAAAACATACACTTGTCTCTTCACTGGGGTGATCTGGGTCAGTCATGAGTCACTTCTGAAGAAATACAGTAGGACCAAACAAGGAAGGAAATTGAAAGTGACCTCTTTCAGGTTTAACGCTGCTTCTGGGTTTAACGCCACTCTGTTGGGATCAGGACAAATTTAAGTGGTTTAGAAACCATAAAACCCTATCCTCAGTGAGATGAAGGCAGTAAAAAAGGAGCTTTGACCAGACAGTCAACTCCGGGTCAATGGACTTTAAAGCCATCTTTCTGGAGGTGATATTGTATCGGGGAATGTGGTATTTGCTAGGCATTGCAGAGACCCTTCCAGAATAGGAGGCAGATAGAGGGGAGTGAGGGCTGTAGTGCATTCTGTTGGGAAGAAGACATGCAGATAAAGCAGTGTGTGCGACAGCTCCACCAGAAGCTTCACTCTCGTGAGATGGATTCCAGAAGCACTTTGTTTCCGTCCCCCCAGTCCTCTCCCTCTCGTCTAGCCAGTGGCTGTGAGTAATGCCAGGTGGAGAGAGCAGTCGTCGTGTAAGCAGCCATCTCTTGGCCTGAGGGTTTTGGGGGTATGTTGATATTTGTCGGTTACTATGACTTCTTTTTTTTCCCCCCTCAATTGCATCAAACCCTTAAAACATGGTGGTAAGTGAGCGATATGCATGCTTTTGGAGTTTGTTTAATCTCCGCTTCAGTCTATACGATGCACAGTTCATAATGTTAACACTTTCCTTCAAGTTTACCTCATTCACTTTCACAACTAATTTGGATTTCAGTTTGCTGTTTAATCCTCATTTACTTTGATTTTTGTACCTTTTTTCTGTAGTTCTGTTCTTTCCCCCTCTCCTGATTTCCCTGTTAGGGTTCGGGTTGTCTTGTTGTCTGACCTGTAAAGGGAGAGTGTTGTGCAGGTAGTGATTCAGTCCAGGAAAGCAGGAGACATGAGGCTCTTTTCTTTGTTCTTTGTAAATGTGAAGATGGATTTGGGGAGAGAGAGAGATGAAGGGGCTCACGAGATTTAGACACTAGTGTGAACAGCAGCTGCTCCCACTTGCAGGCATGGCAGCTACGTCAGAGCCACTGTTGCTAAAATCCCTACACGCAGCCCTTTGCACGTTAGCGGCTTGTCAGGCTCGAAAGTGACGTCACTAGTCAGACCCCAGAGCATAGCCCCACTACCAAAGGAAAGCAGGGTTCGTGGTGTGGAGTGCTTGGATTGGTGCCGACAGTGTCGTGCTTTGAAAAGACTACCTTGGCTATTGCGATTCCCCCTCCTCTGCTTTTCTTTTAAAATTGGGAGTAGATTGGTGATACTCTGTTATCTGCTGTCTTGTTTTAGAATTTTGTATTTTCGGGGGCACCGCCAGAACACTAGAAATACTCTGAGTTTGCTCCCATGTCTTTTCCATTAAGCCCCCAGGTGCTTAGTTCCTAGCATGTGGCTGAGCTCGCCTGGCCGGGATGCTGCGAGCGCTAGGGCGCTGTGGTGAGGGAGGACTTAGACTGCGCTTGTGTGTCTCACACCTGCTGTGTCTGTATCTCCACTGCATACACAGCACACAGATGTCTTGGGTGTCCTTAAGTCTTAGTTCGTTCTCTGTACCTGTTTGACAGTGTGCTGTTAGTAGTAGAATCCTGTGGACACTGGTGTGTTGCTAGCCTATTGTTTTGGCTAAGTCGTTGGTTGTGGTTGTGGTTAGTTTTCTTTTGAAATGTTGTTTTGCTCCAGTCACTGTGTGTGCTGGCGGTGGCTTTGCCTCTCCGTTGCCTCGAAGGAACAGGTGGAGCAATGTCTCCCTCTGACAGACATTACTCCTGACGTGTGCTCCCGCAGACGCCTACACTGAGACTGTAATCTCCATAACTGCTTCATGTGCACCAAGCCCCCTTGTGGAATCCTGCTGAGAGTTTTTCTAGAAGCCTTCAGTGAAATCAAACTGTTCTGAATCATTTAGTCTACCTGACTTTCATAAAATAAAAAGAAACTAAGAGCATTTACTTTTCCCTCCCCTCTGGTGGGCCTTAAAAAAAAAATCTGTGTGTATATCCCTGCTTAAAGGGGACCAAGTTGCCTTTAGTTGAAACAGGAAAGAAAAAATGGATAAATCACAATCATAAAATACCAATTTAAGAAGGCTTCTCAACTCAGATAATGTAAGCTTTTTGATTTAAAAAAAAAAAAAAAGATATCTCGTGGCTCATCTGGGTTTGGGTTCTGGTTTTGGCCAGGGCACAAGACTGAGCCTGTCTTCCTATCTGAAGTCTTTTCTAGAGGGATGTCACCACTATTCAGCTTTCCCTGGTGTGTCACAGAACATCCTGTGGTGTGTGTGCACTTGCTGGCGTAGCCCAGCCCGCTGACCCAGTATTAGGTTGAACTATCGTGGCTTCCTCTTCCTCAGTCTTCCCCTCCAGACTGAAGACTCTCCTAAAGACGACAAACAGCAGGAACAATCAGTGTCCTTTGGAGAAGTGAGGATGTGTGGCTAAATGTACAGAATATACACATCCAGCTACACTGCAGGATTGAGCCAAAACTGTGCATGCATTCACCACAAGAAAACAAACAGCAGGATTTTACAACTGAAATGTCGGTTTGTCTTCTCATCTATTTAAGAGTGAACCACTGGAACTTGGGGACAGGATGAGTATAATGATGTTGCAGCCTATCTGTCCGCTACAGTTGCAGTTTTTCATGACAAGCATTCAAAGTGTTAACTAAAACCATTGAAACAACATACCTGCCATTAAAAACTTGAATCTAGAAATAATAACTCCATGAGTGTTTTGCACCTCCAGATGGAATGGCCTTGAATAAATGCTATGAGTAGCCATGTTTGCCACTTGCCGTTTGCTGTTCTCTTAATCCTTACGCACAGTCTCACAGTTTTCTCCTTTCTTCTCCTGTCTCTCGATGGATTATTAAACTGAACACTGTGAAGACGATGAACCAGCTGGGCCAATGTAAGTACTTTACTGGATGCTGATTCAGTCCTTTCTGATTTGTTTTGTATTTGCAGTTTAATCAAATGGAGTAGCGAAGATTGTAGGGGAAGACAGTGAGCGGAAACGAATGTCGCAGCGTAGACTTCTTAGACTGACATGAAGCTGACTGATGGCCATTTGATTCCCAGGACAGGCTGTACAGTTTTGTTGTTAGTAGCAATATAAAATGGAATACTGTGCAAAAAATTGCTATATAAAATTTTGCACATCTCATGCTTAAATTGATAATGTGGGGGAAATAAGCAGTACATCTGAGACTTCAGGTTTTTTAAAGTTAATTTCAAGCTGGACCATAGCATGGATAAGCTGTCTGGCTCCATTAACAACTGCGTGTATCCAAGAGAGATGGAACTGCAAATCTGGAATCAGTCCAAGATTAGCAGAATCTTGGGGACTAAGGAGTGAGAGGCAGGCAGACAGTGCCCAGATTGGTTAAATGCCAGAGGGTACAGCACTGCCTGTATATATAATTGCTTATCTTTTCTCATTTGAGAAGAGATAGTCATGTTCAGCAGAGGAAAAAACTCCTATTCTCACCTTTATAGTAATTCGTTTATAATTTATAAATCAAAGGGAAATTTACCTGTATATTGTCTGCCTTGGGAGTCAAAAGGATCTATTAATTGAAGGTATGTAGGCACTTTTCCACAAGGACTATTTTTATGCACTAACACCATGCAGTAAAACTTCTGCCTACACCAGGGATGGCAGTAAGTGAAAGAGTCCCTATATTTCCATGCATTAGACTTTCAACAGTTGCTGCTGACTTTAACTCTTGTAATGCAATTTTTCCTCCAAAGGAAAACCAACTCTACCAACAATCACAAAGATAAAAACTTGCGCCAGAGAAACACAAATTAAGTACTGCTTACAATGTAAGTATGGCCTTCTTTACTAGTTTTAAAAATTTTATTCAAATGAATGTGCCTCTGTTGACCTTGTTACAAATTCTTCAGTAGTTGGTGTTATGTTGCAAGATCTTAGTTCATTTCAGAGCAGCTGATACTGATGGAAGCAGTTCTGTCCGTCCAGTGTAGCAGCTGGAAGGGAACATTTTTCAGCTGCTTTGTTTCACATATTTACATAAATGTCATTTCAGAATATGTATGATGTTTCAAAATAAAAACTTCCTGCTGCTCTTTACTTATATCTTTAAAAGGAGGTAAAAATGAAATTCTCACCTTCTTAGGTGGATTATTCCCAGAGGCCAGTTAGTCCCACTTTGCTTCTGAGGGCAAGGCCAGAAGGGTGGCCAGGCACAGGTGGGCCAGAGTGCCTTCCAGTTAGGCACATGGAGATCAGAATTTCACACCACATCCCTGAGCGTGCTCTTAGAACCGAAGTTTTGTTTTATGTGGCACTTGGTGTAGTCTTAAGTGACAGTGCATATTGCCTTTTAATTTCCAAATACTCTCTCTTTACAGGTCTTTAGGTTCCTGAAACTGGTGGCAAGATGACCTGCTAAATTTTCTGCTTGGACCTCTTTGGTCCTCTCCCCTTTCAAGTGAGCACCACGCCACGAGGACTGTCTAACGCATGCCTTATTTAGCCTCTCCTGTAAGGGTGACCTGGCCAGGTACATTTTAAACAATGCTTCAGTGTAGAAGGTCTAAACTACTTTGGGCTTGATGTGCTGTGAATGTTGCTTTTTTTTTTCCTTTGTTAAAATATTTAAATAGAAGTGTAAAGGTCCTCTGAGGATCGGATCATGCATGCACCATTTTTTACTTAATGCAGCTGTTAAATTGGCAAAGCTCTAAAATGCACTGCTGCCATCTAGTGATACATTTTTGTAAAGTACAGCAAAACCTACAGATATATACAGTATATAAATATATATATATTTATATTTTTGGGGGTGGGAGAAATCCAAAATAAAATAAATGCTTGTTTCATTTCTAAGCTGCTGATAGTCATTCCTTATTGTATGTTGTCAGATGAGGAAATTGTGTGGTCTGGTACATAAAGATGAGTAATATAAACTGAAATCTATAATTTTAAGGGCTTAACCTACGACTTTGATAAGAAGCTGGAACAGTCCACTGAATGGATATAATGAATTGCAGTATATATGTATGATTGCTTTTTAAGTGATTCTTTTGTTAACTCATGTAAATTCTTAAATCCTTTTGCACTGATGTGTCGAACCTTATTGTACATTCAATTAAGGCAAACTTTTATAATTTACCTTTTGTTTTCAATGACCTTGAAATGTTATAGCATGGTATTCTATGCAACTAGTTAGACTTGGGGTTGACACTGTATTTTTTCACATTGATTTAATGGTTGAGTGTAAACTTTCTCACCCGGCAGGGTTCTCACGCAGTGCGTACCCATAGATGCATGTACTTGTGTTTTGTGTAATTGTTGAAGTGCAATGATGTATAAAAAAGTGGATTCACCTGTTTTTAAAAATAAAACATTGATAAAAGGTGTTTGAAATAAGACTCTTTATTCTAGTATCTTTTCTAATCTTAGGAGGAAGCATTTTTTCAGTGCCTTCGCGTTCCTTAATTCTGTATGTACATAGAGTGTTAATTTCTCAACCCTGTCAGCTTCTTTAGCTCCTTTTCCACCTCTTCCACGAACGCTGGGAAGTTCTGATCCATGAGGCACAAGCGCAGAAAGGGGCCTAACTCTTGCGCACTCCACGCAGACTGTTCACAGACAAGGGGCAGCTCCTCCGACGCCAGGAGAGACTGGGGGTTCCAGAAGAGCACTTTATTAGAGATTACAGGCAAAAGCAGCAGCCTGAATAGTAACGCAAGAAAACTTTGCCTTAAGGAAAGATGAGGGTAACACACCAAAAATTAGTGTTAATTAGCTTTACAGGGTTCCTTTACATGTTTCTAAATATACACAGGAAGTGAGATAAACTTGTATTCTTAAGTATTTGAAGTATTAATGAGATGATTTGCAAGTTAAGATCCTGCTTTAATGAAGAATACTATGCTGATAGCATTTTGTGGATCGATAAGAAACCTATCGATGGATCAACTGCACTAGCTTAGTTCATCTTTCCCACCTCAGAGGTGGAGGAATGGGTGTGAGCAGTTTACCACATGGAAACTGGGTTCCAAATGTAATAAAGAGAGGTCACAAGATGACCATTCAAAGGACACAGCTCACTGATGTCTTTTTCCCGTCCTGTCCATGAGGTTTGACAAATATAGAGAAGCATGTAACCATCACCACAATCGAGACACGGAAAATTTCCACCATCCCACAGAGAATTCCCTCATGCTACCTAACCTTGTCGTCAGACCATTAACCCCTGATAACCACTGACCTGTTCTCCGTACTTTACAGTCTTGCCTTATGCAGAATGTCAGATAAATGAAGTCATATGGCGTTGAGCATCTTTGCACGTGCTTATTTGCCGTCTATATGTCTTTGGTAACTTGCAGTATTTTAAAACCACTTGAGTAAGTTGTCAATATTTAAATATTAGGAGAGTTGAAGTAAAAGTCTGTGCGTGGCAATTTGGAAGCTAGAGCAACACGGGATCCAAAGTCCCACGTAACACCAATGGGCACAGCTCTGCATGGCCCACCCACATTTGATTCTTTGATCCAGTCCTGTTTACTTCTCCCATTAATTCTGTTAGCTAGGTGCCTTTATACCCTTTCTATGGATGCCGTAGTTCAGTGCGTTTGTATACAATTGACATTTCTCTAGGAATCATCTCTAATAGAAATTTACTTTTCTAAATTCAGACCAGCTCTTCAGACTCTACCTAAAGGTAGAAAGAAGAAAGTGAAAGTAACATAGAGCCCTGTTCTCCAGTGAGAGCCACTCTTAACATGTCAGTATATCTCCTTACAAACTTGTTTTGTGTGTTTGGATTTACTACAAAAGTCAAATCATGCATGCTGCTTTGTAGCCTTTTAAAAACTTAAAGCTACTACGAACATCTTTCCATGTCACTAGATGGGGGTAGACATCACTTTTATTGACTGCGTTTTATCCCATCTGTGGTTAGACCACACATTAACCATTTGCCATCCTATTAGTGAACGTTTTTGCTGTTTCCAATTTTGTTACTATAAACAACACTGTGAGCACATCCTTATGTTTGTGTAGGTGAAATGGAATTATAGGTAATAAGAGAACATTAAATTTGACCTATAATGCTGGATTGCTTTGCAAAACGTTTTACCAACTTACATTCCTAGAATGACTTGTCCAGAAGGTTAGAACAAACAAGTAACACATCTCAGCTCGCCGCCTGGTGCTTTGTCTCATTTGCCCAGGGTTCTTCTATGCTCTGGAAATAAGGTAGGCCAGGGTACCCCTTTTAGAGCAACTGCTATTTCCTGAATAGGGCCCTCCGTGCCTTGCTCCGTGTTTCTTGTGGCTCTGCTCTCCTCAGCCACTCTGCTTCAGTTAACCTCTAGCCCCACTGCAGACACGGAGCTGCAAACTAGGCACCACGCAGTCTGCCCTGCTGCTGGCCAAAGAGCTTTCAAAGGTTTCTCTGTCGCGGTGGCTGAGTCATTAAAGGCAACAGGAATTCTCATCTAGTGTTTCAAGTTTTGATTCTGTGATTGTCGGTTTATTTTAAGTTAATGGTAAGCCACATGGAGAAAACACCTAGATTTTCTTTTTTATACCACTGTTGGCACAGTTTACAAGAAAATTCATCCTTGAATATTGGTGAATTCCACAGAATTTTGTGGACAGCATGAGCTGTTGGCCTGAGAGCCTGCTGTCGCGTGTGGCAGGGAATGCAGCGAGTGGGACACCGTCCTCACGGGGCCCCCAGCAAGCAGCCATCAGGTGACCCTGAGTGGGAATGAATAGGTTTGGCGGGAGTCTGTTGAGAGCAAACCTCGAGGGGCGGGGTGTCTGAGCGCAGCCTGTGGTAGCAGCCAACCCTCCCGCGTCTCTGTGGAGCCTTGGCTGAGATTTCAGCGCTGAGAACTCGCCTCGACAGAAACGTCATGGATCTGACTCCAAATTCATACTGGTATTTGTCTTAGGATAGTTCCCAAATTTCACTTCCAAAATTAAATTGAAATTCCCTTTATTCCTCTTTTTGGGAAAGTGATGATTAAATTCTTTATCTCACACATTTAAAGACTAACACCACAGACCACTCTTCTTTTATTTCCTTAGGAGAACTGTTCTTAAGTAGGTGCCTTTGTGTCTAATCTCTCAACAGGAGGAGATGAACTTGGTCTCGCTCTGTCTTTACCGTCTTCTTCAGTGACACTGTAGGTTATTATTCTAGAGTAAGGGAGTGGACAGAGGGATACAGAGTCTTCAGGAACACTTTTTCGTGACAAGAAAACTGAATACAGAACTAGGCTCTACCTGAGCTAAGCAGGCCACTGAGGTCCTTCCTCCTGGCACGCTTGTGCCGCCTGGTCCACACTGCTGCTGCTCCGAGATCGGGTGTGACTGCAAAGAAACCACTTGTAGTTAGGAGACGGGCTGAACATAATCAGAAACACTGCAGACCGTTACAGAGTGGAAACATGCATTCCTGTCCAAAGAAAGAGAAGAGCGTCAGTAAAGGTGAAGTCGGCATCAGTGTAGTCTCTCCTGGTTTAAGCTGGGCTGTCCCTTGATTTACCACAGTCGAGGGTCACATAGAGTTGGATCTGAGGCTCCTGCCCTGACCTGGTGTTCCTCAGTGTCTCACAGGCTGTTAGCGCTCCCTCCTGTCCAACACCACAGTGTACTTCTGTCCTCAGAGGCCCACCCACAGGACCCAGGACCCAGGACCATGGGCTGGGACTGGAGAGCAGTGGACATTGTCCAGCTTCTGATATTCATGATCCGTCACCTTCTAAAAATTATTACTCGAGTAATATATGCAGAAAAGCATGTACTGCAGGAAAGCAAAGCAGGGGGAAAACCCCCTATAATTGCAAGATAACCATGTCTGGGTTTTTTTAAAGATTTCATTAGGGGCTGGCCCCGTGGCCAAGTGGTTAAGCTCACATGCTCCACTTGGGCGGCCCAGGGTTTTGCCAGTTCGGATCCTGGGCGCGGATGTGGGACTGTTCCTTAGGCCATGCTGAGGCGGTGTCCCCCATGCCACAACTAGAAGGACCCACAACTAAAATATACAGCTATATACTGGGGGGATTTGGGGAGAAAAAGCAGGGAAAAAAAAAAGATTGGCAACAGGTGTTAGCTCAGGTGCCAATCTTTAAGAAAAAAAGATTTTATTTTTTATATTTTTAATTTTTCCTTCTTCTCCCCAAAGCCCCCTAGTATGTAGTTGTATATTTTTTTTAGTTGTGGGTCCTTCTAGTTGTGGCATGTAGGATGCCCCCTCAGCATGGCTTGATGAGCGGTGCCATGTCCGCGCCCAGGATCCGAACCAGCGAAACCCTGGGCTGCTGAAGTGCAGCAGGCGAACTTAACCACTCGGCCACGGGGCTGGCCCCAGATAACCATGTTTTTAATAAAACGTTTAAAAATCTCATCGTAGACATTCTGAGGGAATGAATTCTTCTGTTAGTATAATTCCTAGATATCTTCACTTAACACTTGTGCCCACTACATACTAGTGGTGACAACTGGGGTGATAAAGGGAAGGGAGCCACAAAGAACAAAGTAGAGGTCTGGCCCTCAAGAACCCACAGCCCACTGAGAACCTAGCAAGTAAAACAATGATTAGAATGCACCCTAGGAAGTGCTGGACTGGAGGTAAGTGTACTGTCAGGCTCAGAGTGGAGGCAGTGACTGGGGTCGGCGGTGCTAAGCATGAAGTGTAGGCATGCTCCACAGTCCGTTCTGCTTCAGAGGAATCTGTACGGGGAGGGGCTGTTGTCAGGCAGAACACGGGAATTTCTCCAGGCAAATACAATGACCGAGGGGGAGAAGGAGGCCTGGAGGGCTACCTAAAAGCACAGGGATTTACTGCTTTACCTCTGCATTCAGGCTGCTGACACGGTGCTTTGGTTGAAGTACATGAAGAAAATCTGGCTTCACAGAGATATGTAGATGGAAAAGGCAGGAGTATTTTAAAATAGCCTTAGATATTCTTCGATATGACACCAAAACTCAAGTGATCGTTTCACAAAGATTAGTTGCAACAGAATCTGAAGTCATAGCAGTGAACTTGTTATACTCTGTTATATGAAAATCCATTGGTCTATTTTGTACTTTGAATGGATCTTTCATCCATGCGTGATTTTGTAGCATCACGTGGTGGTCATTTGGAAAATACTGGTTCACTGGACTATACAGATCTTCCAAATGTTGAAACTTTTTTTTTGGTGAGGAAGATTGGCCCTGAGCTAACGTCTGTGCCAGTTTTCCTCTACTTTATGTGGCACACCACCACAGCGTGGCCTGATGAGCGGTGCTGGGTCTGCACCCAGGATCTGAACCTGCAAACCTCAGGCTGCCAAAGTGGAGTGTGCCAACTTAACCACTGTGCCACCATGCCAGGCCCCAAATGTTGAAACATTCTGTCGTGTAATTATAAAAAAAAATCATGTTCATTAATAGTGCCATCAGAAAAGTCTTCTGGGTTAGGAAGCTGTGAAGCTCAAGTGACAGGTGCAAGTTTTCCAAGATTCTAGTTTTTACCCTAAAAGCTTATTTCATCATTGTTGACAGATACTATCCGTTGTTTTCCTGAAATGACAGGCTCACTTCATCTGAGAAAATGTCCCCCAGATGCCCGAATCAGAATAACCATAGTTAGTCTGTCATTCTTTCAAGTAACAACAGTGTTCCGTGAAGACAGCAGCACGCTCAGCTCCGCGTGCAGTCCCGGGGCTCTCCCTTGAGACAGTCATCATGCTTCAGAGGGCAGGGCTGTGGTGTTCTTACTGCGAGTGACTGGGGAAGAATGTGATGACTACTGGTATGGCTTGATGCCAAGGCCTTGATTCGTGCTAAGGTGACAGAAGCTTTGCTCATGATACTTTTGTCCCATTAACACAAGTATCCACCCAGTGCAAGGGGCAAGTAATGCCTTAATACTATTTCAAAAATAATGTTGACTTTGTAGACCCCTGGAAAGGTAGGTCTCAAGGAAGTGTCCAGGGACGACACTTTGAGAACCACTGTTCGATAGTGACATGCAGAATACAGCCGGGACTCCTGGCTAAGCTGACTTCTGGGATTATAGACAGCTACAGTGAGGATCAACCTTCAACTTAGATAAGACGTTCAACATCACATATCTATTAACCTACAAACCTGACAGGCTCAACAAATTCCACTGTGATTTTGGCCCCGACAGAGCACAGAACTGTCAGGTTTCTGGTACCACCAACACCCTCGCCTACTTACTCCATGAGGCAGTGGGACGCTCTGCGCACAGCCCACCCTTTGGCTTTCACCTGGCCTCAGTGGGGCAGGACTCAGCCGGAGGTCCTGGCGGATTCCGTCGGGCACCTGGACAGTGAGGTACTGGGCCAGGGTCTGCACACAGCTGCAACAGTGTTCCAGCGCCTGCTCCTTTGACCCTCCGCTAAACTGTACCCGGAACATGCGACTCTTGTTCTGTTTGACAAATCAAAAGTTACCCTCAGTGACCCTTGCCATCACTTCATATTTCTTTACTGTGGGGTCTTCTAGCGAGTGTTTCCCTTTGCTTGGAGAGGAAGGGGTGTGGGTGCGGGAGCAGTTACCCTAGATGGTTGATGTCGGTATAAAAAAGCCAATAGCTTTCTTCCCCGTTTTGGGAGCTGTTCCTCATACTAAACTTAGCTCCTTCAGAGAACTGACCTCACCAAAAATGGAAAAGCCCATATCATAAAGGCCAGGAAGGTCACTTTACTGACCACAGTAAAAGATCAATGATTGTCTTACTTTGGAATAAAGATTTTACAGCTCCTAATTCCTTAGGTGGAAAATCAGTGAAGATGATACAGCATAGTCCTGGCTCAACAAAATTTTTCTAAACCTAAGTATATAAAAGAGCAAACCAGGTACATGCCACATTAAACAAGCCAGTGAATTTGAAAAACAGGACTGGGAACAGGGCACAGGCCGATGCTAGGAGCTAATGTATCTCACATTAATAATCGGTAAAGCCCTTTATCCTTGGAGAGGCCAGATTACCATACACATGACCCACACAAACCACATGTTGCCTCTAGTTTGCTGTACAAGTTACATCCCTTTGCAAATCAGCAAATGTGGGAGAGAGACAATTAAAATTTTAACAATTTGGCCACCACATCAAAATTACTTGATTGTAAGTTTAAAAATAGAGCTAAATTATAATAAACAATAAAGCAGAAGTAGTTTCCTCTTTTCCTAGTCTAATATTCTGCCTAGTTTAGAGGAGTCGGCTTACACAAAAGCTGCCCCAAACAGGTGGTATGTATTGTGTACCTTTGTTCAATTTCTTCTGTACAGAAATTCAGATTCTAACTTAACACAGTGACAGTACTTTTCACTCAGTAAATACATAAATCACACTAACTGGAAAATGTTTCTAACCACAGTTAACAAAATCTTTTAAGTTCCTATAAGCAAAGATTCCTTGATTTTCCTGTTCACAAATTACACCATTTAAATTCTTAGATAAAACCATCCAGCAGAGCCACATCTTTAGGTTACAGAAAGCTCCTGATGTGGCTTAAGCAATGGTCAGGTACCATGTCTGAAGAACAGACACTGCCAGACCTTCACTGCCACTGCTGGGTTCTCCTCATTTTTTAACTCATTTAATTTTTTCCCCAAGTTTAACAGTAATCCATTATTATCACCCCTTCTAACAATGAAAAAATACGAAAAAAATATTCTAATATATTCATATACATTAGAACATATACACAAACTAGTACATAAATGTATACATTAAGGTTACGTATCATATATATAATATACATAGGTTATATATATACTACTTAGATATTTTTTGAACTATACTACTGTTTTGTAACCTAATTTTTTATTTAGCAATAAGTATAAAAACAACAGTATACTTCATTATTTTGATAGCTGAAGAGTATTCCTTTATTTACCCGGCCCCCTACTGACATAAATTTAAGTTATTTCCAGTTTTCCCTATGATAAACCACAAAGCTCTGATAAACACTCTTATACATACATCTTTGTACATAAAGACCTAAAAGCAGACTTGCCCGGCCAAAGGGTGTATGTATCTTCGTGCCTAATACCAAACCGCCCTGGGCACGACGGTGCCAGCGTGCTCCCGTGGAGTCTATCCGCCCGTTTCCCTGCGCCTCCAACCCTGGAGATTCTTACTCTTTTTGATTTTTCTTAACCTACTAGGTTAACACCGATTTTTATTTTAGAATTTCATTTCTTCGACTACAAGTGAGGGTGAACATTTTTCTTACGCTTATTGGTCACGTGTGTTTTTCTTCCGTGTACTGCTTATTCATTTCCTTAGTCATTTTTCTGTTGGATGAATAATCCCCAAATCAAGAGTCACTGAAAGCTAACTCTCCCTGAGGAAGGGAACAGAACTGATTAAGAGAACTACACAATCAGTTTTTGGTAATTCAATGAATCTTTTTTTGTGAAATTGGGCTGATTTCTTGTTTACAATTAATTAGCTGTTTCCAGCTTATCCTAGTTTAGACTGTATCTGAAGACATCTACATGAATTTTATATTTATGTAGCTATATATTAGCTATTTTCATGATGATTCTGTGATTATCTAACCTTCAGAAGCAATCACATTAAAAAATTTACCTCGTAGCTACAAGAAAAGCTATATGCAGAAACAGACAACTATTAAGTGTAAAAAGGGCAAAAGTCTCAGATCGGTTGTACAAGTCTAGAGGTAACTTTATGTGAATGTCCATAAGAAGGAGTTTGGATAGGCAGGGTTTCTTTGGAATGTGGTTCCAAGAAATGACAGGGCAGGCTGTATGTCTGAGAGCCCAGCTGAAGTCCTGCTCCAAGTTCGCTTCTGTGAAATTCCCAGATGGAATTTGAGCTTATCATCTGAAGCCAGAAACAGCACTCAATGCATGTGGACCCAAGATGAAACCAAGGCACACCAGGAAAAGTCTGCAAGTGAGCTACGTCTCCATCCCACGTGCGCAACGTCACAGGGTACCACAATGGAGAACCTGACACCAGGTGAACAAAAGGACTCCTAGGTTGAAAATCTTGATGAGACTTATTTTTAAGCCATAATTAAAAGTCAGAAAGAGTTCCTGGCTGTGAAATGAAAAGTTTTCAAGTATATGCTAACAGTCCTCAACTGCCCCAAATTGTACAGTCTCCAGTTTCTATAATCTAAGGAGATTAGCTCAAAATTATTATGTTTTAAGCCACGGCTTACATGTTAAATTGTTCCCACCCTATTTCAAAACACATAATTTCAAGTTATTACAACTAACAGAAAATTCCCTGTTACACAGACTCCTTGAGGGAACAAAAGTGAAAGATAAGGGCTTCTCTCTTTACACTTATCTTCATGTTCTCATAAGAAAATCAGGCTTCAACCTTCAGGAGACACTGGGTCCAGTAAACTCTGACTCACAGGCGTGAATGGCATCTCCACACAGAGATTCTTAAACTGGGGTCTCTATAGCTGACATTACGTGGTATCAGACAACAAGGAGACATCAGGGGCCTCACAAACCCGCCGGCTTTTCCTGCTGGCTTCAGATTCATCACTGAGATCTGTAAGAAGTTTCCCATCACCACTAGCACCCCAACTGAAACAGTTTCCCCACCACTAGCAGTGAGTTCCTCTACTGTAGAAAAGGGGAGGAGGAGTAAGTACAGAAAAAGGACTTGCCCAGAGAAGGGACTTTAGCATTTTCTTTAATTCTTTGCTATGAAACCAAGAAGCGATACTCAAAGCCCAGGCCAGACAAAATGATGGGAAACTTGAGTGAGTTACTGGGGTGAGAAGGAAAGAGGAGAGTAGGTTAGGTTTGTTTACTCTTTCACAAAGAAGTCCCTTCCCACAAGGGGAGACCAATGGAATTCTCATAGGGAATTATATGTCTACTGTCAGCCTATCAGCCAGGACCATTTTGATCAGAATTACTGAAAAAAAGGAAGCCCACCTTACAAGTAGGCAGAATTTATACAATCTACTTATTTCAGCCAGAGAGAAGAGAAATATAATCCTTCTTACCACGGAATTTAAGTTATACTAAATTGCTGTTAAAGGACTAAAAATTTTATTTCAAAATAGTTCTTGCATTTGTCAATTTAAATCATGGTATTTCTTATGTAATACCTGGTTAACTAAAAGTTATCCAAGGCAAGAAAAGCACTAAACATACCTTTTGCCAGAAAGGCAAAAAGAAGTCTGTTGGTTCAATATTAATACATCAAGTCAACAGATCAAAGGAGAAAAAAACCATGATCTTGATAGGTGTCAAAAAGCTTTTGATAGAATGTAATATGTAATCCTGATAAAAGTACTAGTAAGTAAACTATAACTGAAAGAATATCTCCTTACATGGTAAAGAATATCCAGTCAACAGCCAGAGATGCTCTTAACATCTAAACATGACTTCCCATCAAGTCAGCAAGATGTCAAGGACGACACAATCATTACATAATCACAGTGGTCTGGAAGGTCCAGATAACTCAGTCAGGTGAGAAAAGTAATAAGAATAAACTACTGGAAATAAATAAAATTATCATTGCAGATTATAAAATTACTTTCCTAGAAATTAAAAAATTATCAGAATTAATAAAAGTTTAGTACAAAAGCTAAATTTAAATTAGTTCAGAAAAAAATCCAATAATAAGCAGCTACAAATATCTTTGGGATAAAAGAATACCATTCATAATAACAACAGGCAAAAGGTTCCTAATCTTAGACATTTAAAAAAATCAATATATAATATATATACATAAATATATATAAAATTATATAACTACACAAATTACATAAATTCATATTTCTATATAACATGTAATATACACATGTATATAACATGTAATCTCTATATAGTGTCTAAATACTTGAAGAGGAAAATTAGGCAAAAGCAGTAGGCAGGTGATTCACAGAAAAAATACAGATGGCTAACAAACACACAAAAATGTTCATTTTCATTTAGTTATCAAAGAAATGCAAATGAAAGGAAGATGCTCATTTTGCCTATCAAATTGGAACTAGTTTTTAAATTTAAATTATATCACCCTATTGAAGAGGATTTGGATGAATGAACATTCTGACACATTGCTAGTCAGCAGAAGCAGGAACAACTTATTTGGAGGGCAAATTCACAGAATAAATGTTCATACTTCTAGGACTTCTATCTCAAGAGCCCTGTAAATAAATCCTTATGAAAATCAAAACATTTTTATAATAGTGAAAAATTGGGCATCATGGTACATCCAAACAATAAAATGCTATGTAGCTATGAAGAATCATCTTTTCCAAGATTAACTGATGAATTGGTATAACATTCCTGATAGAATATTACACGGCAAGAGAGCAGGATAGAAAGCGCTCTGTACACTACGATCCCAAACTGATGAATCACCTGTATGGAGACACTGATTGTTGCCAGGAGCCAAAGCACACCAGGGGCTGGAAAAGCTAAACACTCATCTTGCTGATCTCTGCAGACTGGATGGCCATGTTACACTGTTCTGGCCCATGAGACATAAGCACACATCTTCTAGGGGTTGTGGGAGGTGGACAGACTTATGGGAAAGTTTATGCTTTCCTTACAAAAGGGACAGATGAAGCTGATTTCCTTGAATGGAAATATAACAGAGCTCCTGCAGCCATTCTGCAACTGTGAGTGAGAGGCCAAGGGAAGCGCAAAGGTGGTGACCTTGACACTGTTGAGTTTCTGAGTCAATGCTAGCAATTGCCTGTTTCTGGATTTCTTATTTAGTGAAGAAAATAAACTCCTATTTTGGGGGGCCATTAAAGCTGGATTTTCTGTCATAGGCACCTGAATACAATCCTAACTGATATATATAATGCCTAATAAAAACTTCAAATTGTTAATAATAATTATTTTTGAGTGGTCAAATTACGGTTGATTGTAATTTTTTTCCTTGTAGTTAGTTAACATTTTTAACAATATATAAGCAGAAAAAAATAAAACTCAAATATCAGGCACATGGCATGGTGTAATTTTAAAAAGATATATATATACTCAAACAGCATGACTTAATCCTGGGCTGGGAGTCAGAAGACCAATGGGTGGCCCAATTCTCTGATAGCTAGCTATAACCCTGGCTTTTAGCTTAAGCTGAATTCAGGTTCCCTATGAGTAAAATGAAAACAGAGGTTCTTGAATTTTTTGAGTACATGTTCCAGACCCCTTTGGCTGTCTGGTGAAGTCAGCAGACTCCTCCTCAGAACAATGTTTTAATCACAGAAAATACATAAGATTACAAAGGGAACCAGTTATTCTGAAATCGTTTATTATAATATTAAAGTGCTAATTTGTGAACTAATAATATATATGCCTCCTTATTAACATACTCAATAAAAAGATCTAGCAGCAGGACAAATAACACCATAATTCTGAGGTAGTGATGAGCATAAACGACATTTGAGAGATTGGGAACAAATGTACTGTGACGAGAAAGTATCTGTGACTCCTCTTGGTGAAAGGTCTAATACTACTGTCATCTGCTGCTTACAGTCATAATTGAAGGGAACAATAATTGAAGGAAATGATAAACTGATAAATCAATCGGAGACCAGTGGGAATCCATGCAAGTTCACAGACCCCTTGAATTCTTGGAGGGCTCTTTGGAGGGTCTGTGGACCCCAGGTTAAGATCCCTCTATTAGATGCTCTTGAAGACCTCTTCCAGCTCTGAGTCTATGAGCCCATTGAAAATTAGGCTCATTTACCTAAATTTCAATATTATCTACTCAGTGAATGTTAATAGATTGATTTTTTTATAGTTATTTCTGAAAGAAAATAATTTAGGTGATTAGTCTCCATGTTTCTTTGATGAGGATCATTCTTTACATTTAATACAGCTAGAAAGAAAATAAAAGGAAATTTTTTAATATTAAAGAGGGAAAAACTGAAAAGACATATTCAGTGAAGCATTTGAAAACACACACCTTTTTAACATCTAAAAGCAAGACAAACAATGATGTACTCCACCTCCTCCCAATTTGTGCTTAGAGGATAAAGAACAGTTGCGCAGCCCCATCACATAGGTATTGACAGATCAATCAAAGGCCTGGCTCTTCAGCAACGTCCTCTTACGAGCTAGGCTCTTGCCTCCTACAGTCCTTGTTTCAGTTCTGCTCATAATGCAAACCTTTCTTAAACATGTGTATTCTTCCCAGTATCATTTCACCTGCTGAGAGAAGCTCCTGCACCCTCCACCACCACCCCATACACACACACAACATGAGGAGGGTATGGTCACTTGCTTAAAAACAGTAGGCCACACGGCATCTTGCCTTTATTGTTGTTCCAAACAACAGACAATCCATGCGTCTTACGATCTTCAACCAGTTCTTGCTACCAATGAGTGAAAACCCTTCCTGAAACAAAACAATTAAGCGAAATTAAAAACAGAAGCAAAAAAGGGACATGAAGAATAGCTTTGGTGCACCTGCTTCCTATTAGAAAGTTGTATATTTATTCATTCTGTAACTTGAGCACAGCAGAAATGACTCCCTATCACCAACTGCCAAGGATGACCCTTCTAATAAGTTCCGTGTCCTAGTGCTCTTCCTGCACGACCCAACATTAATAGTTTCAGCTTTTGTTCCTTTTAATCTTTTCATATTGAAAATCAATAAAATATTAAAGATAGTAAATATCCATAGTCATATTTGCTATAAAATGCATTTCTATGCCTCTACGATATGCTAAAATATGAGTTTATATTCTCGAAAGCCCGAGGTTTCCATTAACCTAATTAATTAACTGCTCTGACACATCCCTGACTATGAGATTTCTCTTCATGGGAATGTAATTTTCAGTTTCCTATGAATGGGAAAATTGAAACAATTTGTTTTTCAGTGCTGAACGTTTAGTTCTTCATTTCAATCTGAAAAAACAAAAAAGGCAAAGGGGGCAGCAGAGGGCACACAAGTCTCAAAAGAGGGACAAACAGCTGGATCCCAAAGGTGAAAAGAGGAACTTTTTCTGTAGCTTATTAATAAATAGAATTGACCATCTAATGATTATGGCAGCTAATAAGCTCCAATGATGCTGTCAGTGAATTGCCTAAGTTAAGCAGCCCTTTAAGTTAGAACCCAGGGAACTGATAAACTGACCGCTTGTAAAACCAGCATGCACACTTTTGTCTGCCTTGTAAAGGAAGCCTGCTGGAGGAATCTGAGAAATCTCCAAGTCTTTGAAAACAAAAGAAAATGCTGTCCCTCATCCATTTGAACCCTCACAAAATCTCTCTTCCTAAATCTGAATATGATGAAAGTTGCGACCTCCACAGAAATTTACAGCCTAAAAAACTGTAGGTTAATTCCTTGACATTTTCATTTAAAAAAGAAGTAAAAAGCCATTTCTAACATGTTGATTCTAAGAATTTTCTCACCAATAGTAGGTTGCTTTTTTTTAAACAGAAAAAGAAGATAGACAAACCATCTGTGATTTCATCTTAAAACTCTCTCAGAATTAGCAAAAAGAAACGCGTTCATTATTATATCCCAAACATGTAGATACTCTATTGTAGTTTAAAATTGCAGTAGACAGGGAAACTGGCACTCACCCACGCGGCTGGTGGGAGTGCAATGTGGCACAACTCCTACGGAGGGCAATTCGCCAATATCAAAATTACGAATGCATTTACTCTTTAACCCAGCAATGGGAATTCATTTCCCAGATTCACCTGCACACACATGAAGTGATGCATGGACAGGGTTAAGCATTTCTGCATTTTTAATGGTGAAAGATTGGAAACAACTCAAGTATGCATCAACAGTGGACTAGTTAAATAAAGTATGGTATTCTACTCAACGGAAATCTATACAACTGTAAACAAAATAACGGATGTTCTATATCAGTGCTAGCCAGCAGAAACATAATTTGAGCCACATATGTAATTTTAAATTTCTACTAGCCAAATTTTAAAAACAAAAAGAAATTGGTAAAAGTAATTTTAATATTTTACCTTAACATATCAAAAACATTATTTCAACATGTAAACAACATAAAACAGTATTAATAAGATAGCTTACATTCTTTTTTTGGTACTAAGTCTTTAAAACCCAGTGTGTGTTTTACACTTATACCACATTTCAATTCAGATGCTCTATTTTCAATGGTTAAAGTGAAATGTAATCCGACTAAAACAATAAAGTTGAGTCTAATGGGAAAATATTTTACACTGCTTCCATTTTAAATCTAAATTTAAATTAAACTGAATTCTGTTTTTTAGTTGCAGAGGCACATTTTAATTGCTCAGTAGCTACACACAGCCCATAGCTACCTTCTCAGACAGCACAGTTCTATTATGTATTGATCTCTAAGGTATATTGTTCAGCCAGAACACAAGTTACAAAACAATGTCCACAATATGCCACCTATTGTGTAAGAAAAGGAGAGAACATACAACATATATTCTTATTATTTGCCTATACTTACATTAAAAAAAATGGAAGGATTAGTACACAAGACACTAATAAAAAACTATTGGTAGCAAGTGGGAGTGAACAGTGAAGATGGGGGCAGGGATGGGAGTAGAATTTTTACTACATCTTTTTATATTGCTTTGATTTTTTTTCTTTAAAGATTGGCACCTGCGCTGACATCTGTTACCAACTTTCTTTTTGTCCTTCTTCTTCTTCTTCTTCTTCTTCTCCCCAAAGCCCCCAGTACATAGTTATATATTCTGGTTATAGGCTCTTCTGGTTGTGCCATGTGGGACGCCACCTCAGTGTGGCCTGATGAGCGGTGCCACGTCTGTGCTGAGGATCCGAACCGGCGAAAGCCTGGGCCACCAAAGCGGAGCGTGCGAACTTAACCACTCGGCCACAGGGCTGGCCCCAATTGCTTTGATTTTTTGAACCACATAAGCCTCTTATGCATGTGTATGGGAATATCTGTGCAAACAAGGATACCCATTCCAATATGGCATAAACTCAAGGAAGAGGCAGAAGCAGGACCTAAAGAAATGATAAGTCTATGGGAACTCTGTATTACCTTTACAACTTTTCTGTAAATCCAAGACCACTCTGGAATAAAAAGTTTATTAAAAAAGAAAACAGGGGGCCAGCCCTGTGGCCGAGTGGTTAAAGTTCTGCATACTCCACTTCAGCAGTCCGGGTTCGCAGGTTCGGATCCTGGGCGCAGACCTACTCCACTCATCAGCCATGCCGTGGAGGCATGCCACATACAAAGTAGTGGAAGACTGGCACAGATGTTAGCTCAGGGCTAATCTTCCTTACCAAAATAAATAAATAAATAATAAACAGTTCTTGGCCCTGGGCTGATCTTACCTTTTTCTATCTCTAGTTCAGTTTGGGTTCTGTGGGACATCTCCACTTGGCTACTCCACAGATCTCTCACATCAACTTGCCCAGACTGAAACTTGACAGTTTTTCTCCACACATGTTGCCACTCCTATGGGTTGTTGCCTCAGTGAATGGCACCACACACCAGCCAGTCACCCAAAGTGATCAACCTCATACGATACTTGACGATTCCTTTCCTCACTCCTCCCTCAACACCAGTTAATCCCCAAGTCTTAGAGATCCTAACCCCAAACAGCTTTTCATCTGACCATTCTCACCGCTGACACTGGCCCTGCTGCATCAAGCACCACCCGTCCTCCCCTGAACTACTGCACTATCCTCCTAACTGGTCCCCCTTCCTCCAGGCCCAGTTTCTGCATCTAGCTATGCTACTGCCAGAGTCGTCTTTATAAAACAGAAATCTCATGAAGTCACTCCCTTTCAATACCATCATCTGTCATCCCCTCCCTCACCACCGCCCCCCAAGAAACACCTGCAAGATAGAGCCCAAGTTTCTCACTGTAGATCAATCTCCACATTTGGCTTCTGCCTTTCACGTGTGATTATTTCCTTCATCTCTCTTATAAACCTTGTCTTAGCACCACGCCAAACCCCCTGCAGTTCTGCAAATGTGTCGGACTCCTCACACCCTGATGTCGTGGTACAGACTGTTCCTGAAACAGGCTTCCTTTTTCACTGATCTTTTAAAACCCAGCTTTATCTCAACCATTCCCCCCAAGGCAAAGTTGGCTGGGCTCTCAGAATCCTATGCTCTCTCGGGATCTTGTTGTACTTATCACACTATATCATAACTATTTACGTGACTTTCTCCCTGATAAGAATGAGGAGGAATTTCCAGGCAGGGCAAGGCAGGTTCTAGAATGTGTCTTATTACCCCTTGAATCCTCAGCAACTATCACAATGTTTAACAAATGCTACTGGATTGGCCCCAGCAGCCACTCAGTTCAGGACTCTAAACCAAGTCTCCGTGTGCAGTGGCCACGTGGAGAAAGGTGCAGCCTTCCTCCCTGACCACCTCTTAGTTGAGCCGCTTTATGGCTCTTTTTTGTCCATGTGTCCAAAGCATTTTGCCTTAGAACTTCATATATCTCTTCTCTCTGCCTCTTCCCTTGGCTTTTTGCCTAATTAACCTCTAATCATAGTTCATTTCACCCCTAATCTCAGCTGGGTCACCCCACTACACTTTCCCATAGCACTCTACATTTTTCTTTCATAGCATTTATCACAGTTTAAGTGTGTGTATCTGTACTGATTATTTGCTTAATGTCTCTTTTCACTAGACTATAAGCCCCATGCATGCAGGGGCTATATGTGTTTTACTCACGACAGTATATATAGCACCTATTATAGGGTTTGACACTAGAAGATGCTTCAAAAAGTTGAGTGAACGAAAGAATGAAATGCTATTAAAATTAATTAAGAGAAATTTCATGCCACTATTATTTCTTGGGAGCAATGAGGTTCACAAATTTATTACCTGTCCAATGACACAGAACATCTTACTTTTATTTGACTTAGACTAATCTTGTCCAAGATTCAGAAAGAGCTTTTTCATCTAATGTTTGGGGATTTAGTAAAGAAGTCTGTGTACCTAACCACTTGTCATTCATATATTCCTAGATTTTAATAATTAATCTGCCTATCTTTGAAAATCCACCTCTTTGAATCTCCTTTAAGGCTTATCCATCTGGCGAATTGAGTTTAGTTCAACTGATGGCTCCTCTGTGCAGGCTGTCCTGACTTTCACAGACAGTAAGTGACCTGCTCTGCGTTCCCACAGCATGCTGTGCCTGCTGCTGCTAAGACACTCACTGACCATCACTGAGCTCTTGCTATGGCGGGCCTCTGTGCTAGGGGTTAAAAAAAGACACAGAATCTGCCAAAGTGGAGGGGAGAATGCATCAGAATCACCAAGGGAGCTTCTTGCCCTGGTGCCTGGGATATTGTTCCTCTATCCTGTCAAAAATCACTGCCATAAGAGCTCACTGTTAACTGATGAGAGTCTGTCATGTCCTTTTGAAGTGCTGGGGCAGAAAAAATAG